AGGAGGTAATTATTTCAAGCCCAACTTTAAATGTGACTCTGAATTGCGGCGGTGAAGCTAGCACTGCTACCTATTAGCATATGTTTGCAAGAGCCGGCGGGGGGGGGGGGGGGGGGGGCAAGGAATGATCGTCTGTAGGTTGAGCTATGAGCAACAGTGGTAGAAAAGAAAAAAGAATCCTATTGACCACATTGCTTGTGGTCTACTTTGCCTTTCACCCTGATGTTGTTTTTCTTTTATAGTGGATGAGAAAAACACACAAGCCCAGACGCAGCATCACTCCCAAACACTGCTCCCAGAGGGACAATTATGTTGTTAGCTCAGGAAGAGGCTTTTCACGTAATCTAACTTAATTGTGGCTTTTTCGGTGACTTGCTTTTCAGCCAGTTGGAACAGAAATTTGCGGAATTTAGCAGATTTCACTCACATTCTCTACATAGTTAGATGGCAATGACTAAAAAACTCGACATTGGAAAGTGGTGTAATTTAAAATCTAAAGCACGGAGAGTCGGGGTTTGAGATTAGGGAATGGTTGTAGGCTGTAGGGGGCGCTATTATAATAAAATGTGTGTAACATTAGGGCTACTATGGTTTTGGTAAATGATGAAAGAAAATCTCGTAACTAACACATAACTTTCTTTTTAATAATGTCACCTCTGAGTGGTTGTGGATTAGTAGGAGCAGTAGTACAGTATCTACCCATTTGGGGTTGTGGGTTTGAATCTAGACTAGGTTGGATTCTTGCTGCAGCCCTGGCAGCCTTGCTGTCAGTAGGTAGATGATAAATCCTGTAGTATAAAGGAATCTTTGAGTTCGAGTTTATAGTAACGTGTTATAAAGAACAATATCTTCTCATTGATGGAACGTGCTGTAATGCCTGTTTGTGCCAACTGGCCATCCCGTTCTTAGAGCTGAGTTTTCAGCTCAGTCCTTCAATTACTAGTCAAGTGGAGACTGGAATTTTGTGGGCAGGCCCTGCACCAGCAGAGGCTTCTTTGCTACAGCTCGGTTTAGATCTAGTTTTTCAAAGAAATCAGATGTGAGTTCTTCGGTGTTTTATAATCCCACTTCTTTGGGAAAAAAAAGTTTTCCCAAAGAAGTTCCTGCAACACATCTCTTCTGTTGATCTGGTTCTCATTTGAAAGGTTTTCATATCCTTGAATATTTTTGTGTATTGAGTCATTTGTTTAAAGAAAAATATAAAAACAAAATGACAATCTCCCAATTTACGCGGGGCGCACAGTCCATTCACAAACACTTAATTTCCTTCTTTCCAGGATGCCAGCTGCTAGCACCATGACTGGAGGAAGGGCCCTGCTGCTCTGTACAACCACTGACAACTGCATCTACCAATCAGTCAACGGGTAGGTAAAGACCGTGATTTCACTTTTTATACAAATAGGTATTATAAAAATCCAGATCAGATCTTTGGTCTGAAGCCTAGAGTCCCCCTCACCAGTATAATTTTTGGACCTTTGTATCTGGAAAAACTGTAAATTGCTTGTATTGCATTGCACTAGTAATGATACTTTGGTCATATTAAAACGCAAAATATTAAGCCTAAACACCTCAAAGTGTTCTAATGTGCGTAATCGTAATTTTTTTTCTTAAAATAACAAGGATTTTTATATTGTCTGTGCTCATAATGCTTTATTGTTTATTTGTTGGGAAACACAGACAGTAATTTAACAGTTTACACCAGCACTTCATTTAATTTAGTCTCCTCTTTTTATTTGCTTAATGTGTAATAAACAATAACACATGGAGGAAGGGAAGGGAGAAGGGAAACCTGTTGGAGAATTCAAGCAGCTTGTTCTTCTCTTCCCTTGTCAGTGATAATATTAACCTTATTTTTTTTCTTTTTTCAAGTTTGAAGGAAGCTTGAGTCAGCAATATATCTTTGGGATTTCCGTAAAATTGCATGACTACTGGTATTTTATTGTCCACCAATGTCACTAACTATGTCAATGTCATAAGTCAATAAGCAAGGCTGGATTTCCTCTAATTGTTTTAAATACAGTAGTTTGATACCATGGTGCAGAGCAGACGTTTGTAGGTCAGATATAAAAAAGATGAATGTCTTGTATCTGGTATCTGTCCTCATCCTAAGCCTTTTCTTTCTCCTCCCTGCTCTGTGTGCAGGTTGTAAACTTTGACCCCAAAAGCAGGAGTTCAAAATGTCACAACCTTAATCTTAAAGTAGTGAGCCACAGTGAGCACAGAAACACAAACAGATGTTTGAACGCTGTTAAAAAGAATTCTGTTTACTCCATAAACACTCAATCTGGACGTAATTCTTAACACTCACATTGTGTGGCCAATTATCACAGTCTTTTGATGAGCATGATGCTACGCTGTTGTAATGACATTTCTCAGTTTGAAGGTCATATCCTACTTTTATGCTGGCTGGGTAACAGACACATAGCGTTGATATTTTTCCCTCACAAATTTGTGAAGCCAATAATAACCACGCTACAGCCACAATTAAATATGGTTTTCATTTACCAGCCGGCTTACTGGGCTAGGGTTTGAAACCGCTGAGCTTAGGGACGATTATTACCGCTCTTAAGAGCCAAACTTATATGCAGTAATGTGACTGCAAATTTGGTTCTACAGGGCAGGACATGACATCAATGTTGCAATAAAAACATGAGGAATTTTCAAGAAATTGTATTGCTCTATTGCTGTCTTTGTCATGTATTTCTGTCATGTGGGCAAGAGTTCTAATAATTCTTATATTTTCGCTACTATATGAACTTATTATATAATACATATTAATGTATTAATGTTTTCTTTTTGCTGTAGGCTCCAGTGCTGTGGCTTGAAGGTTGGGGAGGCTCCCTCATCTGTGGTGCCCCAGCCGCAAGAGGTGTGTGGGTCATCAGGGGACAAAAACAAAAGAGGGCCTTCCAAGTGTCCTCTCTCACCCCTGATCAGCCTTCACGACAGCCCAGGTCCTCCTTTCACCATGTTGGCCCACAGAAGAGCTGCCACCACTGAATCAAAGACCACCAACATGGAGAACGGACTTTGTGGTAAACTAAACCACAACAAGACCTCATCAGCAGTTAAGACTGCCAGCATCCGGGACAAGATCTCACAATGGGAGGGCAAAAAGGAGCCCGATCAACTGCCCTCTTCTGGGATGATTTCACTGAGCGCCCCACAAAAGGAATTTGAGACAGTAAGGAAAAAGGACTCTCAAGTCTTGGACGTCCCAAGGACGGACAACAAGCGATTTGTTAGCTGGGACAGACAAGACTCGGGGAAGGAGAATTCTGGAAAGCTGTCTGAGTCAAGGCCTAAATCCCCAGAAGGACCAACAAACAAAGAAGTGACTCAAGAGAGAGGATTTCGAGCTTCTAAGGCAGCAGAACAATCGTTAGAAAAAAAAACAGTTTTAACTCATGTGAAAAAACTGGAGAAGGCAACCAAAGAGGTTCCTGACAGACCGTCACTGGCATTTCCAGGGAATTACTTCTGCCCTCCTTCAAAAGAGGAGCTGGAAGAATTGGAGAAGAAGGCCAACGAGCCCATTTTTGGAACTTTTGATAATGGTCGGCCAGGCAGGTCAAGGAGGACGAGGGACGGGGATTCTGAGAATGTATATAGTGAGCCAGGTGCTCCTTCTATAAACCCTCTACCTAAACCCCAAAGAACCTTCCAGCACCACACACCACCCATGACCCCTGTGTCAGGGCTTGGCTTTGGGAAAGGAAAAAGGAACTTACCTCCTTTGCCCACTGTTCCCCCACCACCTTTACCCACATGTCCGCCACCTGGAGTTTGCAGGAGGCCATGGGCCGACAGAGCCCGGGACAACAATAACAGGTCGGAGTTTGAAAATTATTCACAGTAGTAGAGTGTTTCTTATAGATGACACATGTATACAGTATGTAGTAGTTACATTTTCAACAGAGGAGGGAACATCACATTCACACGTAGTTGCTCTGTCCCTCCCTGAACTTGCAAACAACAAGGAATAAGTCTGCAAATTTGCTTTGGTTATGCTCAACAGATTATTAATTTTAAAATACAAATGTCCAGCCAAGAACTCAACTTGCTGCCAGTCTGCAGTCAAAAACAAATGACCTCTTGTGCACCATCCCTGAACCCTTTAAATTTCACTTCCAACATCCCCACAGCGCCACCTAGGGAAACTATAGAAATGGCTCCACAAACACATATTCATCTGTATTTAGAAAATAATCTGTTTATCAGAGCTTCATCTTAGTGTTACAGTGTTTGCTGTTAATATGTTTTAAACATATTTTTAGAAATTCCATTTGAGGTTGTTTCTGGCTAGTAATTGTAAATTTGGTGGCATTAGCAATTAATTCTACATCTGATGCCGTCTAAATGTGGAATAATCTCCTACAGTCACAGTTTTGAGACATATTCTCTGCGCTGCCTTTCTCCGCGACCAGCCAAGCATTAAACAGTACTGTATCTCCTCCATCTGCTGTAAATTAAAACTTCCAATGACATCATCCTGTTTCGAAATATCTTACAGCAGGATCCCATTGGTTAGGTTTGAAAACTGCACATAATCAACAAGGTCATCCCTCTTCTGCTTAACATGACTGAGAAAGAAAGAACAGGCATAAGACATGCACTACTCATCTGACAGAAACGAGAGCCAGAATCTTTTTCTTTTTCTGCTCTGAGTAATTAATATGTTGGAATTTTCAAGGCTCCTTTTGAGCAGTGCTTGAAATCAGATGGTTACAATCAAAGAGACCAAGGGTCTGCTGGGAAACCAAAAAATTTAAACACTGCAGTTTTGGACTACATCTTTTGTTCACTTTTTCCAGTGGTCAGAATTCTTGTTTGGAGTGGTCTTGGATTTGATGCATTCCCTACCATATGTGGAAACCTTATTCTGCAAAAGTGTCAATTTGTCTTTCTGTCTGTGAGCAGCTGCGAGTTTATTATGAAGTTTTTTGTTTTTTTTACCAAATGTTGTTTGACATCTCTGTTAGTGTAAGGGTTGTAATAGTAAAATAGATTCAGCTCATTTGATTACACATATCTGAAGTGCCAAGCAAAACACCAAGCAAATATAGTACAGTCAATCAGTATGTGGTTCAACAGTGCTTTGCCCAAGGAATTGAAATGATAATTCAAGATGTTTCAAATAAAAAAGACAACATCTATTTCCTTGACGCAACACAAACCAAATATGTGTTCTACCAAACTGGTGATCATTCTTATTTTTTTCTTCCTGCCTTTAAATCATATGAGTGACTGTTCACATGTCTGTGCTGCTCCCTCAACCAGGAAGTCCTATGAATTTGAGGATCTGCTTCAGTCGTCCACAGAAGGCTGCAGAGTGGACTGGTATGCTCAGTCCAGACTGGGTCTAACACGCACTTTATCAGAAGAGAATGTCTATGAGGACATAATAGGTAAATATGAGCTTTCTATGCTGTAAGCTGGGTAATAAATGCAAAAAAAAAAAAAAACCTTCAAGACAAGTACCAGTCCTAACTGAAGTGATTTAGTGCTCTCATACACTGCGTGACCTCTACAGCTCATATGAGTGTGGCCTAGAGTTCAGTAACCAGGGGGATGAGGAGGGCAAGCTGTCCTTACTGTTTTTACTGCTCCACGTCTCATTTAGAACCACGCTGCTGCAATATATGCAGAGATCTGACTAGGTCCTGACTTATTGTCTGATGTGTTGTGCCAACCCCACCTAGACCTTGATTAAATTCATAACCAACAGTCATGGCAGTGTGAATCCAAGGAACAGTATTTCACAGGCAACAGAGTAAGCATGTCTTTTATGGGTTTCATGTACGGATGTGTCTGGTGTATCAGTCCTGTTCACCGGTAATTTAAATCATGTTTAAATATGTTTGACCGATGCCACAGCTTATTTTGGGTTCTTTTATAGGTCCGGCATTTTTTATACAGTGGTATTGTTCTGAAAATACCAAGCTGTTTCTCAGTTGACACTGCACTGTCCCGTGGGTGAAGTAACTCATCTCTGTAATGCAGAGATATAAAAAATGTTCAGACAGTAATAAATGGATCTGAATTACTTCTGTTCCGTTGCCGTTTTAGTGCCAAAGTCGAGACGCAGAGCAAGCTACGTTGTTCATTGTCGCTCATAGATTTTTATAATTAAACGGGAAACCAGAAAACTGAGGTGCCAATGGCTATAGAAAACCTTTTTTACTGAGAAAACAATGTAAATATATAACAGGAAAACAGACAATAGTAGCACCGTGGAGAATAGGACTAGTCATCATTTATGTCTGACAGCTGCTCCAATAGGAACCTGGTTTACTGCTATGAACAAAACCATCATCACGACACAGTCTCTATACTGTGTAGAGTATACAGTCTATCATCAACGACCGAACGTGAAAAGATAACAGTGTTAGACTTTAAGCGAACAATCAATGTAAACATATACATTGTTAAATTAGAAAAAGAAAAAAGCGAACAATCAATGTAAACATATACAACATTGTTAAATTAGAAAAAGAAAGCAGCGACTTCACATCTGCACTCAGATCAGCCTCAGGGTCTCATCAGTCAGCGGTACAACAGTACACTGATCCCTTGTTTTTCTCAAAGAAAGAGGGAGCAGGGAACTGAAGGTCCCTTTTTTTTTACACCTACAGGTCACATCTGGTGGATGGGTTGACAAAGCAGAGAAAAGATACAGACAAAAAGACAGAGACAGAATGGGTCAGAGGTTTTGGAAAATGAAACCAGTGCTCTTCCTATCTACAGGGAGGAGTAGTGGCTGGAGTTACATTTAACCTTAGCTGTGCGAGTGTCCTATCGTAGTAAAATATGATCTGGGTACATGGTCTTCTGCCTCTGGTAGCTCTCCTCACATCTGGACTAGGCATCATCTGGCAAAACAAACATGACTTATAAGAAAAAAGAGTCTGCACGAGAGTCTACGATATTTATTGACCGAGCTAAAAATTCTGTTTTTTTTTTCTTCTTCTGAAGATCCTCCATCCAAGGAGAACCCATATGAAGATATAGAGTTGGAGAGAAGCTGTTTGGGGAGCAAATGTATTTCATCTGTGTCCTCGTCTCCTGTGCCTGACACGCCAACAAAGGTACCGAGTCACTACCTCACAACGACAGAAACTACGTCTATTAAGAACAGAATAATATGTAATTTTGTGTAATATACATATATATTTTTATTTCTGACTTTTTTGCCTGTTCCCTCCAGCTTTCCTCCAAACCCGGTTTCTTTAGACAAAGCTCAGAAAGACGGAGTTTCAAGCTCCTGGAACTGCGCAAAACCGGCAGGGACGCAGGTGTTTCCTCGCCTTCTCGCATCAGCCCCCCGTCCACACCTAGCAGCCCTGATGACACCCCCTGCCTCTCAGGAGACCCGTACAATCGCAGGAGGAGGAAAATTCCAAAGGTATGTGTGTCTGAAAGGCCTCTCTCAGGCCTCCCCCCCTTGTGCTCTCTCCATTATTTACAGTCCAGGCTATGACTCAGTGAGGTTCAGAGCTGCTCCAAACAGACTACTATCTGGGGGTTGGGCAAGACAGAGTTCTGACACATTTCCTGGAAAAAGTGTGCCTTAAGTAATGTCTTTGATTCATTTGGGGTCAGGCATCGAGTGATAACCGATTTGTGCCTCCAGATGGTGCTGAAAATCAATGGCATCTTTGAGGCACGGAGGGGGAAGAAGCGCATGAAGAGAGTGTCTCAGTCCACGGAGTCCAGCTCAGGACGAGGTAAGAATGCCAATACTGACGACATGTCTAACTGACAACACCACTGTAATTTCTCATCATGCGTGTTCATGTGAGTTTTTGGGTCAGTGACGCCTGACCCGTGTGTCAGAGGAGCAGGTGGTGTTGCGTGGTAGTGGATCATATCAAAGCCCTTGAGTACAGACTCTGTGAGCTCCAGGATTCCTCTGATTGTTACTTGCAGTCTTCTCACATTCATTTTCTCTCACTTTGATGTAGTGACCGATGAGAACAGTGAGTCGGAGAGTGACACAGAGGAGAAGCTAAAAGGTGGGAACGGGCAATGAAAACTACTGTGCATCATGTCCACTTTTATGACTGTAGTTCTGTGGTTCAATGTCTTCATGTTTTGCCCTCAGCTCACAGCCAGCGCCTGGTATCAGTTCAGTCCATGCTCAGGCAGACTGGGCGGTACCGGACTTTAGAGAGAGATCTGATGGAGCTGCAGGAGCGAAAGCTCTTTGAGTATTTCATAGTTGTTGCACTTCACAAGACCAAAGTCGGTGTTCCGTACCTACCAGAGGTCACACAGCAGTTTCCTCTAAAGGTAACGGCAAAAGAAACGATGAAATAATTTTTCCCACTAGTTAACAAATAATTATTTATTATAGATAATAAAAATTAAATATTGACACAAAAACACTTCTATTTTATCGCAATTTTTCTTTCAGCTTGAGAGGAGCTTTAAGTTCATGCGGGAAACTGAGGACCAGCTGAAGGTCATCCCTCAGTTCTGTTTTCCCGACGCCAAAGACTGGGCGCCTGTCGACAATTTCCCCAGGTCAGTCAGTCCAGCCACCAAACAAATCTGAAGTGGACAAGACTCAGCTTGTTTTTTTGTTGTTTTTTTTGCTTTTTCCATTAAGCCTGGAAATGACCTTGTGACCTCACTCTCCATTGTTAAACATTGTGACACAAATGATTAACAAAAAAGTTGTAGGTTTAACGTGTCACAGCTGGTTCTCTAATGGTTTTGTTAATGCCAAACTGAGACAAACTTTTCTGTCTGCATTGTTCCAAAAATAGGAGAAGTGTGTACTGATGGCGATGGGTAATAATTATCTAGAAGTAAAAACACACCTGTGGAGTGACGCAAACATAACTGCCAAAGAGGTCACTAATGGTGAATGAATACCTGTCAGAAAGAGCTGACATAAGGTTATTTGTTTCCATTTTTACCAACATCCCCTGAAGTGTTTTTCTTCTCTGCTACACCAAGGCTTCTAACAAAACTTTCCCAGAAACTTTTTTTCTACAAAACTCAATTTTCACCTCTAACTTGTTTTCAACTTGACAAAGTTATCTCTTCTCTCGTTGATTTTTCCTTCGCAGTGAGACCTTCTCATTTGTCCTGACCGGTGAGGATGGCAGCAGGCGGTTTGGCTACTGTCGGAGACTACTGGTATGTGTTCTTTGACTTAATTATAATAAAGACTAGATGGGGTTGAATGAGACCTTTAATTGAAACTGCTCTGGTACTTTCTAATTTACTAATGATAATATTGCGTTTTTCTTTGCTTGTATTTAGACATGTCTCACTTCTGTGTTTTTAACCTTTTTCCTCCTCACTGCTCACAGCCCAGCGGTAAAGGCCGGAGGCTGCCTGAAGTCTACTGCATCGTCAGCCGCCTGGGCTGCTTTGACCTCTTCTCCAAGGTAAACACAGTGACATCTGCACACCCGTAGGGTCAAGATGTTTACTTGAATCTAAAAACCATCATTAAGTTAAATAACATTGCTGTGAAATCCATATATTACAGGCACACACACATCCAGCACCCACTAAATAAGTACAGAGCAGCAGCGGTAGCACCCACAGAGCTCCACCCTCCCTCAGCACCATCCGTGTTTTTCCGCGTTGTAGGTTCTTTACAGCGACACATGTAAAATGCAGCAGATGTGGTTACTGCAGTTAAAATGTCCCCTGTAATGAGAACAAGATCTGTTTGTGTACTATACAAATCCATGTATGTAAACATTGCTGTTTTGAAACTTTCCCATGCAGCTCAGGCTTTAAATATACAGACATGGGGTTAAAGGTCAAACACAGTCTGAATGAAGTTTTAAAATTGATTAGTTATCCATGCAATGGGTCTAAAGCTAAACTCAGGTTCGATTGTCAGAAATAGTACTTTAGAAACAACGAAATCCATATGTCCCTCTAGAGCAGTGGTGTCAAACTTTACTAAAGTTTGAATAATAACAGTCTAAAAGTTGTTTTATTTAGAAACTGTAATGCTGTGCTACAAGTCTGCAGTAACGGCTGGTGCCGGCCGACCGGTCCTGGGTACAAAAAAGATCACTGCTCTTTACTGTAGCATGGCAGCTAGAGTATGCACACAAGTGCTTACTATATTTATAGTTCAAGTTTAAAAACTCCTTCTCTGTTTTTGCAGATTTTGGATGAAGTGGAGAAGAGGAGAGCTATTTCCCCTGCTCTGGTGCAGCCTTTTATGAGAGGAATCATGGAAGCTCCTTTCCCTGCTCCAGGAAGGACCATTACTGTCAAAAACTTCCTACCTGGCTCTGGGACAGAGGTAACATGATGATGGAACTGTCACTGAAAAAAGCATCACCCTTAAAAGGAACTTTCCAGACACTACAAATCTAAAATAAACAAATCTAACTCAAGTTAGGAACTTTTCTAAGTCATCCTCTGTCTGTGTTTGTTTGTTTGTTTGTTTTTTCTTAACGTATTGCTATATAAATCTGATTTTCCTAAAGGTCATCGAGCTGTGTCGACCTTCAGACTCCCGTCTTGAACATGTAGACTTTGAATGTCTCTTCTCCTCACTGAGTCTGCGTCTCCTCCTTCGGGTTTTTGCCTCTCTGATGCTGGAGCGCAGGGTTATCTTTACCGCCGACAAACTCAGGTAGGGTTCAACAACAAATCGTTATGGAGCAAACTCAAAAATCACATGTTGAGGAGTTATCACGATATGAAGTCGGAGTAACAATTTGGAGGAAAGATCTCAGGTTGCCAAGAAAAAAAAGAGAATTCCAACCAAGTGTGCGAGAGGAAAGAATGCTTTTGTGTTTTACAGTCGCCTGGGGAACAATCACTTCTAATTTGGAAAACTGTCATAGATGTCAGACAGAAGGAGTTGGAGAGCCCGACTCTGGAGTTAACACATGTGCACACAGACGTCATCACACCCGTGCAGTCTCCTCAACTACCTAACAAAAAAATTACAACCGTAGTGGTACAGCTGGTTCAACTCAGCAGAAAACTCTAATGTAACCTGACCCACGTGTACACGTTCACCTGACCCACCTTTAAGTTCAGGCAGGTAAATACTGTTTAAATACATTCCAGAATATTATTGTAATTTAACCCTCTTCCTGTATAAACAAAATATCATTGTTTATAGAAAAATAAGAACCAGCATCAATAAAGATTCGAGTCTCTGCACATTCTCCAGCATCTAGCAGAAATTTGGCTGTGTCAGTTGGATTTTAAAATGATTTGATTAAAGCCAGACACACACGTGTGTGAGATTATTAGCAGCGTGGGTTAACTTTGCGTAGTTTTTACGAGTGACCCAGTTAAATTAAACTCACCTTTAAGATTTTTAGTGCCACAGTAGTAAACTTTTCAACAACAGCTAAAAATACAGACGTGTGAGAGGATGGCATTTTCAGGGGCATGTTACAGTACCCTCTTGTGGACGACATCAGACTCACGTTTATTGTTTTTTTTTATTAAAAAATAAAACAGTAGGGGGCGCTGTTGCTTCACAGCAGGTCTACGTTTGGTATTCTGGGTCAGACAAAGGCCTCTGCCTGTTCTATTTTGTCATTCTGTTAGTGAAATCCACCATCATTGTTTGACTCTTTAATTAATCAGTTTAATGAATAATGAAGGTTTTTTTTACCTTTAAATTTTCTCTTTTTTGCAGCACTTTGTCCCAGTGTTGTCATGCAGTCGTGGCTCTCCTCTACCCATTCACCTGGCAGCATACGTATATCCCTGTGCTCCCACCTTCCATGTTGGACATCGTCTGCACCCCGACACCGTTCATCGTCGGCCTCCTCTCCAGCTCCCTGCCACGCCTCAAAGAGCTACCTATTGAAGAAGTAAGACCAATGTTACAATCAGTATTAGCTTTCTTATCCAGGGAGGTTTTAACAATTCCAATCTTACTGTGTTAATGTGTATCATCAGCACATAATGCACAGTCTTTTCCTTAAAGCTCCACCTGACTGCTAATCCTATATCATATACTATCTTCTGTGTTGTGTCTTTTAACTTTCCCTATGGAGAAAGTGCATCTTTTCCGCTCCAGGAAATGACATCAGTCTCTGTCTGCTCTCTTTATTCTTCCCTCAGGTCCTGGTGGTCGACCTCGGCAACAGCCGCTTCCTGCGACAGGTACAGTGCAGTAGTAATCGCAGACACTGAAACTGTATCTATATGTTCAGGAGCTGGTTCATCATTTAAGTCCATAACGTCTGAAGCAGTTTTAGCAGATGTTGTGTGAAAACAGGTCACGGCAGTTTGTTGACTGCATTTTCATGTGTATTTTTGCCTCCATAGCTCGATGATGAGGACTCCATTCTTCCTCATAAGCTTCAGGCAGCTCTGGAGCATGTGCTTGAAAAGAGGAGAGATCTGGCCTGTGACAAAGGAGACCTACTCAATGGTGACCTACACGTTTATATATGTTTTAATACAATTACATTTTTTAAAAATGACGTGCATACATACATTATATAAATGTGAAGGCTGTCAATCGATTAAACTATAGTTATTGTTATTACTTTGTTACATTATTAACTATAATCATATTAATCACGGGGTAGCTGTTGTTTAATCATTGATAACCACGAATATAATATATTATGATTATTATGATTAATCATTCTTTAATGGGACAAAAACTAACCTTTTCTATATGTTGCTGGACCGGACAGACCAAAAATCAGCTGCAAGGTGTGTGTTTCGCACATGTTGTTATGTGTTACCCTGGAATTATCAATAAAGAGCAATAACATGTCAACAAGTGTATCTCAAATAATATGAAATATATAACGACCATGCACATTTACTTCGTCCTTACCCTGCATCCTAACGGTGACTTGCGCAGAGAAAAGTTGCTTTCAAAACTTCGGTGATACCATAGTCCTCAACAACATTCATCGGTGAAGAATCCGTCGCAATCCGTTTGACAGTGTCGTGTCAGTCAGACTGTCACCTGTTGACTAATTAACGGTCCTGCGCTCTGTGTGACGCGTCTAACCGGAAGTTAAAGCTTCCGCTGGATGACACGCTATTTTAAGCTCTCCAGGTGTGTGTAAATAATAACGACTTAGTTCTTATTTTTTACACACACCTCTGCAGAAACACTGTACATCTAATAACATTCCATGTTCTACTAGCGCACGTCGTCACAATGCGTTAAAATGTATAATCAGATTCAACATCGAAAAATAACTGACATGATTAACGTGTTAATTTCCACCGCCCTGAAACATTTTATTTTCGTAACAATAATATTTTCAAAAGTGACACGTTTGTTCTTCCTTGGTCTGATTTTCATCTTCTTGTTCTCCAACTCTTCCCAGACTCCTGCTCCCTCAGCACAGTAGTATCGGAGGCGTTTGTGCGTTTCTTTGTGGAGATTGTAGGTCACTACTCTCTCTTTTTGGGCGGAGTAGAACGGGAGGATGAGTCCATCTCCTCCCCGACCTTAACCAGTCCGTCTTCCTCCACTACCTCATCCTTTCAGCGTGATGCTTTCCGGAAAGCAGTCACTTCCAAGAGTCTCAGAAGATTTCTGGAACTGTTCATGGAGACCCAGATGTTTACTGGCTTCATACAGGAGAGAGAGATGCGCAGACAAGGCCTCAAAGGTACAGAGACCTAATCTGATCTGAATGTTAATGAATATGGTTTACCCATGACCATTATATTTTTAAAAATCCAAACAAACAAACAAACCAGTCCAAAACATAGCAAACTTACTTTCCCTCAGAATTGTCATAATACGGCTCCTTCAAAATATTCAAATTAATTGAAGGTATTTATCCGTTTGTGTTTTTCTCCAGGTCTCTTTGAGGTGAGAGCACAGGAGTATTTGGACTCACTGCCTGGAAGCGAACAACGAGGAGTCAACAAATTCCTGAAGGGCCTAGGTTAGATTTACTGTCCATCCTTAATTAGAGAAGTCCTTAATAATTTTTTTTTTAAATAATAAAAGTGAAATTTAATTTCTGGCTGCTTTCAGGAAACAAGATGAAATTCCTATCCAAGAAATGATCAGATGCTCAGATTGAGGATGTCATCGATAAATGTAGAAAAAAACGCAGTGAAGAAGAAAGGATTCTCCCCGAATGTGGAAGACGCAACGATGGAGACATGTCTTAAGAATGAACAATGAAAGGGCTCTAGAAGTGAACTGGACTCACTGTTTTTTCAACGTGAGAAAATCTGGATTTGGCTCTGAGGTTCTTTATCCACTCATTTTTCTGGTTTTGTGAGCTGTTCACAGCGACAGAGAGTGTGTTCCGGTGTCACAGTGTACTACTGGATGGAACAGCACAGTGTAAAGGAAGAGTGTTCTCTAAACTCCCCTCCCCTTACTTCATATATAAACCTCTGAGAAGCGTCACTGCAGACAGCTTTGTACTTTCTTTTACATTCCAAATATTTTCCATAGAATTGTTTATAAAATACTACAACTTCTTCTTCAACAGGAGGCTTTGAGGTTAATTTATATTCTTTTTTAGGCATATTAAATCTGTTTTGAACAATGTTTTTAACTTACTCATTGCAAAAAAAAAAAAAAAAAAACCTGGTTTCTCATAGGCTTTTTTTAACAGGGTCTAGTCCAGACTGTAGACCACTTTAGGTTGTTGGGTAAATGTACCACTTTTATTGCCTAAAAAAAGCGCCAAAAGAAAGATGAAGAAGTGAAACACAAGATAATGTGAAGTTAAAGATGTGGATAGATTTGAAGATTCATGTTCGCTGTAGGGTTGTTAAGAAATCCCCAAATATTTTACAACAACAAGGAGCTTGATTTGCCTTAAACGTAATGGAGAATGCATTAACATTTTGTTAATAAAGCAACTTTATATTAGAAAAAGTGTTGTTTGGTTTAATGTATTGTGTCAATAATATTCTTTATGAAAGAGACGATATAGAAGATGTGAGCAAAAGAAGACTTTTAACATGAATTTGTGGGAGCAAGTATTTCTTATTTTACTTCAAATTCCGTTTTGAATGCTCAGTGTAATTTCTCTAAAAGGAGACGAAAGCAGTTCAGAGCAGTTCAACAGATCGATTAATCGAAATCACTTTTAAATATCTTTCATAAAACCTTAGAGCACACAGCATTAAATTAAGGCAAACAACGGAGTATAATATTGTTGAGCAGAGTACGTTTCTATGCAATACTCAGAATAACCACTAGAGGGATGTGTCATACAGCTTGTTTTTGTTTTGTTTGTTAAACCATCAAAGTTCAAAATATTACATTTAATTCTTTGGTCCCTGGATTTAATATCTGCCCATTTCTCAAGATAATATTAGTTTTAAAACACATTACACAGGGCGGTTGTATTATTAAAAAAAAGTTTAATTAAGTTTCCCTGAATAATAAAAAATCAAGTCTGTTAAAAAGTTTGAAAAAATTACAAAAATGTACAAGCAGATTTGAACAAACAAGGGTGACTCTAAAAACAGATACTTTCTAGTAACAGTTACTAGTCTTCTCTAAACTTACTTTCCTAACAATTAAGGCTTATTTCTTCTTCACAGAATTTAAGATGTTTTTAAACAACCCTTGACTTGAATTACTGCCACCTAGCGGGTCTAGGTGCCTCTTGTAAACAACCCCACAACCTACAACCTGTCGGTAGTGTTTTGACTTACAAAAACTAAAAGAAACAAACACTTAAAGACTTTTACTGCAAGATACCAGCTGACTCACAAACTCCCTGTACCTCCCGTGCATTTGTTTTATGAAAGTATGAATACAATTTTTGCATACAGTACAATACAATTAAATATCTTTACAGCCATCTTAAGACTAGATTGACAAATGCAACTTAGAGGCGTATCAAACAAAGACATAAGGGGTAAACTTGAAGTAAACGAAGATAACGAAACATTGTTTCTCCTGTCGAAGTCTTTCTCTTCCTCCATCTCCTCCTCCTTCTCGTGATTGCGTGTTGACCAGTCAGACCTGCCTCCCCTTCCCTCCTCTCTCTCCCTCCTTGCTGTTCCCACCTTACCCTCCCCTCTCATCCCCTTCACTCCCCCTCCCTCCTTTTCTTTCTCTGCCCTGGTCTTTTTCCTCTGGCTTTTTCCAAGCTTCATGTCATACCACGGTTAATTCCTGAAATTCCTGCCCACCTCTCTCTCTCTCTCTCTCCCTCTCTCTGTCTGGCTCGATTCAAACAAGCGACTCGGCGCAAGGAGACGAGGCAGCAGAAAACAAACAAAGAAATACAAATATAAAATAAAGAATACATTTTTACATTTTTTTTTTAAAAAAAGGGGGGCAGAAATAAGAAGCAACAGAAGAAAAAGAAGAGAGGAGAGAGCGGATGTGAGTGTACCTGTCTGCCGACTTCACCCAGGTAAGTTTGTCAACTTTAGCTCAGATTTGAAATGGTTTGAACTTTTTTTTTCTATTTTACACTGCAGTTATTACCATGACTTTTTCCCCACACACTATATTGTGGACGTTGACTCAGCAGATTATTGCACTTTGCCTCTGAATCACGCTGACTCTCTGTACGGCATTACATTCCTCAAATATTTCACATTTTTCCAGCCGAATTCCGACATTTTTCTCCTTTAATTCCAGCAGAGCTGCGACTTCCTGGACTTCTGTCGGAACTTTTCTTTATTTATCTGCGGGATAACGTCATAGCCGCACAGTCTAACATTAGCGCCTGTCTGGGTTAAGTTTTACACCAGGAAACAGTGATAAATCAGGCTCTTTGTATTTATTAACTTGCGTGTTCCAGTTAGAGTTGTTTTTTATATTCTTATATCAACAAGTGTGACTAGACTGACAGAGTGGTGTCCTTGTCTCGCGTCAAGATTCTATTGATTTCAGATTATTGAATCAAGGCTTTTAATCTTTAGTGCCGCGTATTCTATTTCACAATTGATTTAATTATTTATTTTGTATTTAGTCGTACTGTTGTTGTTGTTTTTTTTATCATACTTCTTACCAGTACACTGACTTATCTTTTTCTATCTTCTTACCAGTACACTGACTTATCTTTAACTCATTTATCCTGTTTGTCTTCTTGTTCTGTCTTACGTACAGTCCAAGCGCACTCCCAGGAAACCGTCAAAGTATCCGTAACTTCAGTTCTGAACGATATAAAGGTTTATTTAAACATTATTATAATTAAGTTCATTTAAGAGTAAACATTCAGCTTAGCCTAAACTTTATCCCGACATGTAAATGGCGAGACTCACTCATATAGAGCACAAAGAGTGATGATGTCATACGTTAGGTCAAAGAGCTACAGTAAGACAAGATATTACATATTTTATGACAGGTAGATAAGTTACTTTTAGTTAGATAAGATTTTTTTGTTAAAATCTTGGCTGAAAAAAGGATAAAGAAAACGTCTCTCTTTTTTGTGAAATTGTTTAGCAATTGTTTAGTATTTGTTTTCTTTGATAACGTGACGTTTAATGACGCGTGGCTGCAACAAAAAGCTGTCAAGTTGACAAAAACACCTAATTTTTTGCAAATAAATCAGTTTTATCAGCAAACAAAAGACACAGAAAAATAATGGATGTATATCAATTCAAATGTTTACAGACTACATAAAACAAATGCAGACTAGCTAAGTAAAAGGTTAGTTATCGGTCTAAAAACTAATCATTACACCTTCATTTAAATGGAAACAATTAAAATAAAACATGGTTTCTGTACCACTAACTCCTGAATTTTAATGCAAACAAATTCCTTTCAAAAAGAAAATATAGGGCAATGAAAAAGGAAAGGTTGTCACAGAATATGTAATTGTTAAATAAATCATAAAGAAAAAAATGGGGTATTTATTTATTTATTTATCTAGAAGTAGCTAGGTCGCAATCTCATTCTTAAAAAAAATCACTTTTGTTATAATTTGCATTGAAGCTCAGTCTGAGTGATTTGCTGAATGCCTTTTTTCCTAGTCCAAATTGGTCTTCAACAACAAACAAAACGTTGCCGCATTAGTATTATGACATAGTGTAGTAACTACTAAAAATACAATAACAGTCCAGTAATATCCTGTAGTTTATTAATGCTGTTTAGTAATGCAGTTTCTTCAGTAATAACTAACTAAGTCGTAATGCAGTTTCTTCAGTAATAACTAAGTTAAATCTGAGTTAGTGTTTACGGAAATGTAAGCATTATTATTGAGCTGTACATAATGTCATCAGTGCTGTTCAGAATTTTATAAATGTGTGGAGTGACTGCTGAGCTACAGATGTCATGTAGAACACAAAATTGTCACTAGTCAGTGATGTCATGCAGTGTTAAACAACATATAATCACTGAATATATGTATGTATCTGAATATATCTACTGTATCATAGATACAGGTCTAGCAATGTTATTGAAAATCATTTTTTAATTAATTCTTCTCTTACCTGATTTTTGGTTGAATTTCAAGTTGACAAAATAACCAATTTACAACAGTCTGTTTACGAATAATTTACATAAATTTTGCACACAAGGGGCTGATGAGGTTGCATAAAATATTTTTTCATTGGTGAATTTTTGAATGAAAAACTTTAATTAGTTGTACCATTTCATTTGCTACAATCTTCTTTCTTGTCTGTGAATCACTAGAATGCTGTGCGTGCTTCCAGCTGCAGTTTAAGAAAGTCAACAAAGGCCTTTGCAGCGATCTGTGTTTACCTAAGCGCATGTGTGTGAGTGAGTGATCGCTGTGTTGTCCCACAGGGCAGCTGAAGGAAACAGGTGGAATGGAGAAGGGTGCCAGTGTGGTTTTAGGGTGGAGGTAGAGGATTGAGTATACATCTGTCAAATGTTGAAGACTGACTGAACTGATAGAGTTATTCTGGGCATTGTCCCTTTATTATTTTCTGGAGTTGTATTAGCTTGACGAGTCACTATTTTCTAACATCTGTCTCCATATATGCGAATGAGTTTGCATAAATGAGCAAAACATAGGAAAAGGTGTGAAACGTATGTAACTGCTTTGTTCCTCAGTCAAAGTGTATTTTGGTTTTCCCTGAGACGTGTCCTTTCTATAAAAGTTGTTTGTCTTTTACCCCCATATTTTGCTGCACTCGTCTCACATAGCAATCATTCCTCCTCCACTGGCACAAGAGAAATGAATAATTCCTCAGATAGTCTTATGGAACAAAGACTTTTCTTAGGTCTCTCCTCCTCTTTGTACTTCTCCCTCTTCACTCGCCCACAGCTCTGTTGAGCGAGTAACTGTTGTCAATTGACGCCAGCCACTCTGATAAGTCTCAGTGTTTAGAAGGCCTGATATATATATATCCTATTTTAGGATATATATATATATATATATACACACACACATATATATATATATATATACACACACACACATATATATATATATATATACACACACACATATATATATATATATATAATTGAGTGAGATGTCAAAAGAATTTAGGGATACATAAATATTTGGGATATTAAAAAAACAAGAATCAAGGATTTTTATTTAAATGTCCAGTGCAAAAATCTAGTACAAAACTTGTCTCCTGCTCATCTTTTATCTTGCACAGCTGGCATTGATTTTTTTCCTTACAGCTTCTATACTTTCTTCACTCATACTTTGCATTTTCTGTCCAATATTATTGTTATTGTACTTATGAGTTCAGGCTGCACTGGGGGGGTCAAAGCAGTCTTATGGGAAAATGAAAAAAATTGTATGACAGCTTGCGTGTCTGAAGCTAAAACAACATAAACAAATATAGAATGGTGTGAATTATGTGAGTGTTTAAGCCTCTGTGGTTCATGTTGATGTCTGAGAGACCTTGTGTTCCAGTGAGTTGCTCTTTTTTTCTCCATTGTGTTGTGCATGTGTGTTTGTGGGGGGTTGAGGGTTCGTAACCCCCTGTTCACAGCGTTGGTTGAGAGATTAGCCTCTTGAGCAGATCCTGGCCTTGTTGAGAGAAGGGGGATCGGGGGAGGAGGGGTGAAGGCTGCAGGACAGTTGTACATGGAGGGACATTTTGACTTAAATTAATTATCGTCCTGGTTAATGATGTTAATAAATGTTATGTTAATGTTTTTGCGACCCTTTGGTAATATTTGTCATGAGCTGCATTTGTGTTGTACATCCGTGTGGACTGGGTTGTGAGTGTTTTTCCTGTTTGTGTGTTTGAAGTGTTGTTTGTGTAGGCATGAGTTTCATTTTGTCCGTGTTTTTGTGTGCACATCTGTGTATATGTGTGTTAAGAGGGGAAACGGGGGGTGGCGGTGGAAGGGGAGGAGGCGTGGAGAATGGTCGGCTGGCCGGACGCTTTGCAGGAAGCTTAATGGATCATCAGCGGGGCTCAGAGGAAAAGCGAGGGGGGTGTCATGGGAGAGTCTCTACGTCAAACTTTCTGACTCACTCATCTAGTCACCATGACCCCCTCCTTTTCAACTATAGTCAAGTAGACCTCTACTGTTCTTCTTGTAACAGACACACTTCACTGATGTCACTTCTGCTGTTTCTCTCTTTGCTGCCATAAATGGTCATGGAGGTCCTTTTTCATTGGGCAGGAAACCCTTTACAGATTAAAACATCCAGTTTGGACCGACTCACACATTTGCTTCACCTTTTTTCATCATCTGTGAGGCCTTATCCTTTAAAAAACTTTACCCTGCACATCCGTTGTAAGGAAGAGACATACTGTTGCTGATAATAAAACACCTTCTTACCATACGGGAATTATTTTAGGATCACCTTTAGCTATATTTCTGTCAAAAAGAGGCAAAGCACTGATAAATCAATCCTTTTGATAAATCATCTAGTTAAACCGATGCATCTGCCAATAAAAAAAAATCAAAAAAATCAAAAATGAGACGACAGCCCCAGCAAAAGATGTATAACTTCAATAATACACTTTAATGTAATGCTGATGGGGCATTAGGAACCTCAAACGCCCCCTGGCTTTAATATTCTAGTATGATCCTTCTTGGCATGCGTGTCTAAGTGTGTCTGAGGACACTAATCCCACTTTAATGTGTCTCCTTGTTTGTTCATCGGACCCCCCTCCCCAATTCCGATCTACCCCTCCTGTTGTTGTTGACAGGGCTACTTGCCATTATTTTGTTGTGGAAATAATGACGTGAGGGGCTTTCTTTAAGTCAGGATTAACAGCTGTGGGGCTGATGTGACCACAAGATGAGCTAAAAGATGCTCCCACTGTTTTCATATATTGAAAGAGAAAGGCGGAACTAAAGCTAATGAAAAATTGTCTGTGGCAAAAAAAGAAATTGGAAGTTGGTAATGACAGTGGTGGGGCTGATAAGATGCGTTGCATGCTTTGTATCCCAGGATAAGATCATATGTCATAGCTAAATTTATAGCCATATTAATTAGTGCTCTGCAGTCTATGGTAATACAGCCCATAAACACAATAAAGGACTTCAGAACTCATTAACAAAGCAGCCAAATTGATTAATGTATGAATGAAATGTGAGGAGGATGTTGAAATGGTTACAAATAAATTCATTTGAGGGGCTTGTAGAGTAACATTCTATTGCAGTGCTGTCTAAAAACAATAGTGTAAGAAACAGTAAATATTATTCAATGAAGAAAAAGTTAACAAAAATATTAAACAAAGATACATAATAATCAAATATAATGATAAAGATAATGGAGGTAGAGTGTTAACCTCAGGTTTAAATTCTCTGAAATTAGTTTTGCAGTTGCAGTGTATTTTCTTTTTATAATCATTGGGGATTTTGAATACTGTAGGAATTGCAATTAAATCCTTTGAATCCGCATTGTGATTTTATTTGTATTTTCATTTTATACAAGGCTTTTAATTTGTTTTCCCCCCACTCCTATAGGACTGCTGTGGCATAGCCAGATCATCATCATCATCATCATCACACCTGTTATAAAGACAGGTCGCCTTCCTGCACCTTCTTCCCTGACCCATCTTCATCACAACTCCAACCCCTAACCAACTACCTCCTGCTCTGTGGCCCCCTTTGTGTCTCCCCACCACGTCTGCGGAGTGGGCGACGGCTCCCTCCCCCAGGGGTGGGAGCGAGGAGCTGGGAGATGGACTCGACAAACCGCTGGAAAATGATGCTGAGGGCGTCTGGGCCCCTGACATTGAGCAGAGCTTCCAGGAGGCACTGGCCATCTACCCACCGTGTGGCCGCCGGAAGATCATCCTCTCTGATGAGGGCAAGATGTACGGTACGCCCACTGCTCTCGTCATTTGACTAACGTGTTCATTTCTGTATAAGATATAAAATAGTCCAGTTGCAGTCCTCATCCTACATCAGTTATGTTCATGCTCTTGTTTTATGGTCATGTGGTGGAGACGGTTTAGTGACAACAGATAATGTTGGTACTGAACTTGTATATTATTGTAGTATGGTGCAAAGATACACATAAATAGTCTTCGCATATTCTATTATGAGCAGGAATTTATAGGTCATTTAGAAATAATAATTCACTCAAAGGAACAAACACACATGCATGCACACTGTGTCTCTTTCTCTCTCTCTTTCTCTCTCTCTCACACACACATACACACACCCATTCATCACCACTTCTCGTCTTCATGTTTCAAGCCACTTCTGTTTCCAGCTGTCAGTTCCATTTGGCCTCATAATGCACAGTGGATGTGTCAGAAACAGACACACAGTCAAGTCACTCATTCCTCCACATGCACAGGCTCACTATACTTCTAATTCCAGAGGAAATAAAGAAGGATGTCTCCATCTAAAAACCTCAAAGCAGCAACTCTGTCTAGAGGAGATTACTTTTGAAGTGAAGCAGAAAACCCAGAGACTGTTCTGTTCCATACGATTTTTTTTAAAACAAAATACTTCTAGAAACTCACAAATTTGTTTTCACAAACATGTTTACAAGAGCAGCCCTAAAGACCCCTAACTACTAATCTTCATTTTATTTTTCAAGAAATGTTGTTTAACAATTTTGCTTAAAAATACCTCGCTTTTTGTGATTCCCCACCACAGGCTCTTTGATTCCCTATTTCCTTGGATTTGTTATGTCTCCTTGTAGAAAATATTGTTTTGAGGTAAAAGAAACCAATATTGCAAGTATTTCCTCATACTGTCTATGGACAATGCCACTGCCAAACAGGTGCTTGGAAGGTGAAGTGACATTGCCCTCTGATATCTTGCTGAAAGATCTTTGGTAACAGATGGCGGGACCATTGATTGTCCCCTCGCTTTAGTGCTTTTGATGGGGATCTGAAACGAGTGAAACATGGTGGGGGACGGTGGTGGAGGTGTTATCAGACTCCCTCTGTCATCACCATGTTTTGTCAGTGTGCCAGACAGCTCCTTTAACTGTTTGTCCAGCTCTACAGCAGCTTCGCCACCTACTGAGGTCATGGTCAACCCCATTGAAACCCTTATAAAGCCTGTAATTATGGTCGGAGAAGGATAGAGTGTTTCATTGTATATCGCATGGATGGTGCAGTGGCAGTTGGCTGGATCACTTAAGGTGGCAAGGGTACGTTTTGTCAAGGGAGGCACTGAGGTGCCCCTTCCTCCCTCTGGGATTCAGAGGCAGGTGATGCACGCCAGGGAGTTTGTTGGCCCGCTAAGAATGGCATGTGCATTTGAGAGCCCGAGGGTTCAAGGCAGCTCAGCTGTAACCCTAAACCAGAATAGACGTTTACCCTTTGAGTGTCTAGAGGGGAGGGAAGGGTTGGACAAATAAACACTAAGGTGGGCAATGGTGTCTTGTGTAGCCTCTGGACTCTCTTTCACACACCTGTCCCCTTTGTGTGTGTATGTGTGTACTGTATTTGTTCTTCACAAAAATCACAGGTTGTGTCTTTGTCCCCACCTCACTTGCTCCCTGCTATTTTGGTGGGTAACAGCTCCCAACTCTTGGTCCCAGACTCCTCTTCTTTCTTTGGTCTGCATTAAAAAACCTCTCCTTCTCATTGCCAGTCTGTTTGACATTGAGTTCACCTCCAGCTGCTCTCTGAATTCAGCCTGTCAGTCCTGCTGCAAATCCAGATTTATGACTTGAGAAACAAGGCAAGACTGAACCCATTTGTGGTCCACTATGCCCCTATTGTCCTCAGACTGCATGGCCAGCTCCTTCCCTACAGCTGCGTGGTTCACCTTCTAACACCAACACCCAGGTTTGTCTTGGTTCTCAGCCATCCAGACCTTCTTCTAGCAGTAAGGTAAAACTGGAGAAGTCTCTTGAATGAAAAATAACATTGTCTAAAAACCAAGTCAGTCCTGTTGCCCATTCCTAACTGCATTTCATACCCAGGTCAGATGCGGCCGACAACTCAAGTCTTCAAGCATCAAAAATAACTGCAAATCCACTTTGAGCCTTCTTGGTGTCATCAATGTTGTACAGTAATGGTATGTTGATGATTGGATGTTAAACCAGTTGAAACTTTTAGAGCATACATGAATGTATGAAAGAATACTAGAAGGTTGAAAGAATGCATTGTGTCTCCTTGATTGGGGCTAAATATGGACACAGACAATGCAATGCCCTAGAAAATCATGTCTGTTGGATAATTTGAATTTTGGGTTAAATTCCAATTTAGGAATGAATGACATTCAGTGACAAACAATATGATATTGAGACTGAGCAACGAAACAGAAGGAATGCCTGCAGATCACCTTCACCATTGTAAATTCCTAGTT